AGGAAATATGTCAGATGGACCTGATGAAAGAAATGGAACAACCCAGAGAAGAGAAAATTTCTGGAAGTGGGAGAAAGGAGGGAGTTCGATATGGCAGCTCTATAAAGAGCAACAGTCGAAACAGAAAAACTCTGAACAAACAACCACATTAAGAGCTGGGACAGGTGAGGAACAGAAGTACAGGAGGGATGGAAGCCATGAGAAAAAGACCAAAGACTGAAGCAAGACTTTTGCCTCTGGTACATATACCAAGAGGAAGGGCAATAGATGTAGGCAATGAAAGATGTGACACGAGGGGTGAGTTCCTGAGCTGAGGCACAAGACTGGACAAAAGACACACAGAAAAATAGAGTATGAATATATCAGGATGAAAAACGATAGATTGCGATGGACAGAGGAGTAAACAGAATAGAGAAAGAGGCAGGGTCTCGTGCTCCATAAAGGGCCAGAGCAGTGGGAACTATGTCATAGGAGGTTAATCCAGAACAACCAACAGAACACAAGAAGGAGTGGTCTAGATAAAGGAAAAGACCCAGAGGAGGAGGAGTCTGAAAGGAGGGTAACCATATAGGGGCAAGCCCCTGAGCCAAGGCACATGACCAAACAAAAGTCACTCTGAAAGAAGGAGTGTAGAGACACAAGGATGAAAAAATGTCAGATTGCAGATGACTGAGAAGCAGAAAGGACAGAGAAAAGGAGAAGGTGTGTTGCTCCAATAAGGACCAGAGCAGACAAAACCACATATGAGCAGCCAATACAGAAGAACCAGCAGAGCACAACATGTTTGGTCTGGATAAGGGAAAAGACCCAGGAGATGAGTCAAATGAGAGAGTAGACATATAGGTGAAGACCCCTCCAATCTTCCAAGCATCTTACTTCACAGCTGAAGCATGAGGAACAGAAGACGAAAAGGAAGTGTGTCAGATCAGTGAATGGGAAACACATACAAATATTCAGTGTTCCCTGTTGAGAACACACCCACAGAAAAACGTGAGGATGAAGAGACCACACTGTGGAGAACCTGGTGGGGACACAATAAGAGCTCGACTACACGAATCAGAAATTGGGGAACATGACCCACCAGAATTGTCAAATCAAGATCATGGGCCCAGTACACGAAATCCAGACAGAGATAGTACATGGTTCCCCTTCTCTTAGTGATAAAGCTGACGAAAGTGGAATTGCAGAAAGAATCAAATTATACTCCTCTGCAGGAAAGGATACAGAGCCCAATAAACTGCCAAGGTACCAGGATGTGGATATGGAGAGTAGCCTCCTCGACTGACCACCAACCCAAAAACAAAGGGGAAATTGAGGAACTAGGATAGTCCAAGAGATCGTGAGTGAAGTTCCACTGGTCAAGAAGTATCCAATGAAGGGAATGCATGTCCAACCCAAGGGAATGAGTACTTCCAAGAAAGACCACACACCAAAAGAGAGAGAACCTCATGGACATAGAAAGAGGAAGAATGGATGGCAAACACAACTGTCTGCTCAATATCCTGGAGCCAATAGTGGAGAAGGCTGCGCTCATCCAAAATAGAAAGTGAAGAGAATCCCCAAATGAAGAAGATATTGTGAGGGGGTAGTGAATAACTTCTTCAACCAGAAAAGAAACCCATCTGAGAAGCTTCTTGAAAGAATGGCCAGGCATAGGATGAGGCGAGCAGAAGCCTGTCATCCATGAAATACGAGTCTGAAATCCAAACAAGTGAAGATGATGCTCAAAAGAGCCTACCTCTCCACAAAACACATTCAGAGCTGAAGAAAGACAGTCTGTGAGCACCCAGAACAGAAAGGCAAAATGCACCTTCAGGAACCAAAGAAAAGAATGTGACAGTGGGGCATAAAAACCCACCAAAGTGAGAGGTGGGACTCCATGATGAAGCAAGGTGATTGTAGATAAGTATACAGCCAGGACAGATCAAGAAATGGACTTTAAACTCCTGTGTGTAGGGAGACAA